TTTGACCATGAGGTGTCCTGAGGCGAAGGCGATGGAGTTTGGCGGCGTGGCGACGGGCAGCATGAAGGCGTAGGAGCACCCCACGGTGGCAGGGATCATGAAGTACAGCGGGTTGATCGACACGTGGATCGCCTGCAGAGACAAAGAGGAAGCAATTTGAGGATAGGCCCCATGTCCAGGTTCGTATGGAGAAAAAAGTGAAATTCTGAGAAAAAAGTGAAATTTTGAGAAAAAAGTGAAATTCTGAGAAAAAAGTGAAATTTGGAGAAAAAAGTGAAATTCTGAGAAAAAAGTGAAATTTGGAGAAAGCATTTTTATTCTACAAAAAAAAGTGAAATTCTGAAAGAAATCTAATTCTGTGAAAAAAATATCACATGAGGAAAAAAAGTGAAATTATGTGAAAAAAGTGAAATTCTGAGAAAAAAGGGAAATTTGGAGAAAACATTTTTATTCTACAAAAAAAAGTGAAATTCAGAAAGAAATCAAATTTTTCTACAAAAAAAAGTGAAATTCAGAAAGAAATCTAATTCTGTGCAGAATTAGATTTATTTCAGAATTTCACTTTTTTTTAAATGATGTGAAAAAAGTGAAATTTAGGAAAATATTCTGAGAATAAGTGACATTTAAAAAAAAAATCAAATTATGAGAAAAACGTCAAATTATTACATAAAAAAAAAAATTCAAATTCTGAAAAAGGCCAATTAAAAAAAAAAATTACAGCTCCCTCTGGAACCGGGCATTAAACCCACAGCTTTATAGGAAACATCTAAAAGGTGTCATATCTGAACCACATTTTAAGAGAAGAGCTTTTTTCTCATTTCAAATCGCAAATCAAAGAGACGTTTCTCATGGTAAGAATCAGTCCATGCATCGTGGAGATGGTTTTAGAGTGTTATGCTATCAGTGGGCTTGATAAGAGGGTAAATTCCTCATATTGACCCAGGGAAACAAACCCTCAACCTTTGACTTGAGGAAACATCGCTGAGAACATAAACTCCTCGTCAGAGAGACTTACTCCTGCAGGGCTCAGAGGAAAACTAAACGCACACATGATGTCTACATTCTTCTCTGGATGTAAAATGTTGCAGAGAACAGTTTGAGTTTCTCCTGCAAACTGCTGCTGCGGCTGGCTCTGGGGATTTATGATATAACGGCTGCAGGAGAAGGACTCAGTGAAGAGTTCATTAGACTGGAAGCTTCTCTGGAGAGTCTGTTTAATGCAATTCACTCAATAGGCTGGGGACGGGATTTCAATCTAAACATCAGGTTCCTTAGAGCTAGGAGAGGAAGGGGGAATCAATGTTTAGTTCACAAAATGTAAAATTAAGATTATTTCTGAAAATCTCAAAATTCTTACTTTTTCTGAAAATCTCAAAATTCTTACTTTTTTTTCCCCTAAATTCTTACTTTTTTTCTCAGAATCTCAAAATTCTTACTTTTTCTCAAACTATCGAATGTCTTCTTTTTTCTCCAAATCTCAATTCTTACGTTTTTTTCTCCAAATTCTAACATTTTCTGAAAATCTGACAATTCTTACTTTTTTCTTAAAATTCTTACTTTTTTCTCAAACCATTTGATACTTTTCGAAGCGCCACATTTACACCACAAGACTCAACTCATGAGATGTTACTGTCACACGTCCTCCTGCAGTCACTAACAGAGTGTGAAGGATCCCAAACACGGGTTAAAACATCTCTAATATTAACGAGACTCTGTCCCTGAGCCTCCATACATCCTGTAACGATTCTCTGAGTGCGTACTCTGCAGTTCAAAAGCTCTGTATAATGATTACTGACGGTTAATGCCCAACAAACAGAAGAACATCTACTGAGAGTTAAACAAGATGTTAACAGACTCGTGCCCTGCAGAGTTCACCAGTTTCCACTGCTTTGTGTCTTTTCTAAAGCAGGCTGCTGGTTTGAACACATGCCTGCATCCTAATGTGTAGCTCCGTGAAGTATCCACAGAAATAACCTCCCAACAAGGCCTTCCTTATTGTTTTAGAGCATAAAGATTTGATATCCACTGCCTTCATTGATGTTGAAAAGAAGTGTTACAGTTTGCAGACTTTGTTCAGACTACGAGAATTTATAGCTTAAATAAAACGCACCCAGTGTTTGGTGTAAGACATGTTTCATCCCTGATGCATGTGTCTGTTATCAAGTTTTTAAGAGTCCAACTTATATGTGAAAGTACATTGAGATCATTTCCCCCAAATATGCCCACCCTGGCTGTTTGGTACATTTTGTTTTGGGATGAAAAGCATTTTATTTTAAATGCAAGGTGTGTATTTTTCTGCCAATATCAGTGTTCAAAATCTGAGTTTCTCCCTACACGCTGTTCAGCGTCCATTATACATATCCACTATACATATCCAACATATCCACTATACATATCCACTATACATATCCAACATATCCACTATACATATCCACTATACATATCCAACATATCCACTATACATATCCACTATACATATCCAACATATCGACTATACATATCCACTATACATATCCAACATATCCACTATACATATCCTCTATACATATCCAACATATCCACTATACATATCCACTATACATATCCACTATACATATCCAACATATCGACTATACATATCCACTATACATATCCAACATATCCACTATACATATCCACTATACATATCCAACATATCCACTATACATATCCAACATATCCACTATACATATCCAACATATCCACTATACATATCCACTATACATATCCTCTATACATATCCAACATATCCACTATACATATCCAACATATCCTCTATACATATCCACTATACATATCCAACATATCCACTATACATATCCTCTATACATATCCAACATATCCACTATACATATCCATTATACATATCCACTATACATATCCTCTATACATATCCAACATATCCACTATACATATCCTCTATACATATCCAACATATCCACTATACATATCCAACATATCCACTATACATATCCAACATATCCACTATACATATCCACTATACATATCCACTATACATATCCAACATATCCACTATACATATCCAACATATCCACTATACATATCCAACATATCCACTATACATATCCAACATATCCACTATACATATCCTCTATACATATCCAACATATCCACTATACATATCCAACATATCCACTATACATATCCAACATATCCACTATATCCACTATACATATCCACTATACATATCCACTATACATATCCACTATACATATCCAACATATCCACTATACATATCCACTATACATATCCACTATACATATCCACTATACATATCCAACATATCCACTATACATATCCACTATACATATCCACTATACATATCCAACATATCCACTATACATATCCAACATATCCACTATATCCACTATACATATCCACTATACATATCCACTATACATATCCACTATACATATCCACTATACATATCCAACATATCCACTATACATATCCAACATATCCACTATACATATCCACTATACATATCCACTATACATATCCAACATATCCACTATACATATCCACTATACATATCCACTATACATATCCACTATACATATCCACTATACATATCCAACATATCCACTATACATATCCAACATATCCACTATATCCACTATACATATCCACTATACATATCCACTATACATATCCAACATATCCACTATACATATCCACTATACATATCCACTATACATATCCACTATACATATCCAACATATCCACTATACATATCCACTATACATATCCACTATACATATCCACTATACATATCCAACATATCCACTATACATATCCAACATATCCACTATATCCACTATACATATCCACTATACATATCCACTATACATATCCACTATACATATCCAACATATCCACTATACATATCCAACATATCCACTATACATATCCACTATACATATCCACTATACATATCCAACATATCCACTATACATATCCACTATACATATCCACTATACATATCCACTATACATATCCAACATATCCACTATACATATCCAACATATCCACTATATACACTATACTATCCACTATACATATCCACTATACATATCCACTATACATATCCACTATACATATCCAACATATCCACTATACATATCCAACATATCCACTATACATGTCCACTATACATATCCAACATATCCACTATACATATCCACTATACATATCCACTATACATATCCACTATACAACCCACTATACATATCCAACATATCCACTATACATATCCACTATACATATCCACTATACATATCCACTATACATATCCAACATATCCACTATACATATCCAACATATCCACTATACATATCCACTATACATATCCAACATATCCTCTATCCATATAGCTCAGCTTGTCTCTCTGATAACCTCAGATCCAGACGTCCCATAACTTAAATTCTCTGGCACTATTTTGTCTGTTTTATTTGTTCTATGTCCTATATATATTCATGTTGCTCTGTTGGAGGAGCCTGGGACTTCAGTTTGTCATTGCCATATCTACACTGTAGCTGCTGAGCACATGACAATAAAGCCTTGAATTGAATTGAAAATCCTTTATCCCGCTAAAAAGCACCAGGATGTAAAAAGCATTTTGGTTTGTTTACTTCAGAAATAGTTAATATGTGAAAATTATCCTACATCATAAATGCATCAGAGGAAATGTTTTCATGTAAAATTAAAACAACTTGAACACTGTGTGTCTTGCTCTTAAGTAGGAGAGACGATAAAGGACTTTTTGTGTTTGTGTTTATTTGAACTCCCAGTCTCACCAGCTCTGCGATGACGGGCAGGAAGATGATGATGGTGGCCGTGTTGCTGGCGAACTCAGTGAAGCAGGCGAGGAAGGCTGTGATCAACATGACAGCTGCAGCCGGAGGGACCTCGGCTAGCGGCTGCAGGTGGCCCCCGATCCATGAGGCCAGACCAGACTCCTGCCAAACAACACAACACGGGGGTCAGAGGTCACAGAGAAACATCAACAGAGCCAAACAGAGAGGGGTTCATGTAACAGCCGGTTTCATTCTCTAAAAAAGCTTCAAAAAGATCTTTATTTTTCTCATACTGCCTGTGCTGCAGCTCCTCTTTTCACCGCCCAGTCTGCTCTGATTGGTTAGCTGGCCGGCTCTGTTGTGATTGGTCAACCTGCTTAGAGATGTCCCGCCCCTTAGTCTATCACGTACAATGTGTTGTAGCGTTAGGAGCTGTGATTTTAGCCTTTGCAGACCATTTTGTGTCTCTACTTTAAAGAGTCCTCTCCTGCTGATGTTCAGGTGTATATCAGTATGTAGTGTCTCTACTTTAAAGAGTCCTCTCCTGCTGATGTTCAGGTGTATATCAGTATGTAGTGTCTCTACTTTAAAGAGTCCTCTCCTGCTGATGATCAGGTGCATATCAGTATGTAGTGTCTCTACTTTAAAGAGTCCTCTCCTGCTGATGTTCAGGGTGTATATCAGTATGTAGTGTCTCTACTTTAAAGAGTCCTCTCCTGTAGATGTTCAGGTGTATATCAGTATGTAGTGTCTCTACTTTAAAGAGTCCTCTCCTGCTGATGTTCAGGTGTATATCAGTATGTAGTGTCTCTACTTTAAAGAGTCCTCTCCTGCTGATGTTCAGGTGTATATCAGTATGTAGTGTCTCTACTTTAAAGAGTCCTCTCCTGCTGATGATCAGGTGCATATCAGTATGTAGTGTCTCTACTTTAAAGAGTCCTCTCCTGCTGATGTTCAGGTGTATATCAGTATGTAGTGTCTCTACTTTAAAGAGTCCTCTCCTGTAGATGTTCAGGTGTATATCAGTATGTAGTGTCTCTACTTTAAAGAGTCCTCTCCTGCTGATGTTCAGGTGTATATCAGTATGTAGTGTCTCTACTTTAAAGAGTCCTCTCCTGCTGATGTTCAGGTGTATATCAGTATGTAGTGTCTCTACTTTAAAGAGTCCTCTCTGCTGATGTTCAGGTTGTATATCAGTATGTAGTGTCTCTACTTTAAAGAGTCCTCTCCTGCTGATGTTCAGGTGTATATCAGTATGTAGTGTCTCTACTTTAAGAGTCCTCTCCTGCTGATGATCAGGTGCATATCAGTAGTAGTGTCTCTACGTAGTGTCTCTACTTTAAAGAGTCCTCTCCTGGAGATGTTCAGGTGTATATCAGTATGTAGTGTCTCTACTTTAAAGAGTCCTCTCCTGCTGATGTTCAGGTGTATATCATATGTAGTGTCTCTACTTTAAGAGTCCTCTCCTGCTGATGTTCAGGTGTATATCAGTATGTAGTGTCTCTACTTTAAAGAGTCCTCTCCTGCTGATGATCAGGTGCATATCAGTATGTAGTGTCTCTACTTTAAAGAGTCCTCTCCTGCTGATGTTCAGGTGTATATCAGTATGTAGTGTCTCTACTTTAAAGAGTCCTCTCCTGTAGATGTTCAGGTGTATATCAGTATGTAGTGTCTCTACTTTAAAGAGTCCTCTCCTGCTGATGTTCAGGTGTATATCAGTATGTAGTGTCTCTACTTTAAAGAGTCCTCTCCTGCTGATGTTCAGGTGTATATCAGTATGTAGTGTCTCTACTTTAAAGAGTCCTCTCCTGCTGATGTTCAGGTGTATATCAGTATGTAGTGTCTCTACTTTAAAGAGTCCTCTCCTGCTGATGATCAGGTGCATATCAGTATGTAGTGTCTCTACTTTAAAGAGTCCTCTCCTGCTGATGTTCAGGTGTATATCAGTATGTAGTGTCTCTACTTTAAAGAGTCCTCTCCTGGAGATGTTCAGGTGTATATCAGTATGTAGTGTCTCTACTTTAAAGAGTCCTCTCCTGCTGATGTTCAGGTGTATATCAGTATGTAGTGTCTCTACTTTAAAGAGTCCTCTCCTGCTGATGTTCAGGTGTATATCAGTATGTAGTGTCTCTACTTTAAAGAGTCCTCTCCTGCTGATGATCAGGTGCATATCAGTATGTAGTGTCTCTACTTTAAAGAGTCCTCTCCTGCTGATGTTCAGGTGTATATCAGTATGTAGTGTCTCTACTTTAAAGAGTCCTCTCCTGTAGATGTTCAGGTGTATATCAGTATGTAGTGTCTCTACTTTAAAGAGTCCTCTCCTGCTGATGTTCAGGTGTATATCAGTATGTAGTGTCTCTACTTAAAGAGTCCTCTCCTGCTGATGTTCAGGTGTATATCAGTATGTAGTGTCTCTACTTTAAAGAGTCCTCTCCTGCTGATGTTCAGGTGTATATCAGTATGTAGTGTCTCTACTTTAAAGAGTCCTCTCCTGCTGATGTTCAGGTGTATATCAGTATGTAGTGTCTCTACTTTAAAGAGTCCTCTGCTGCTCATGTTCAGGTGTATATCAGTATGTAGTGTCTCTACTTTAAAGAGTCCTCTCCTGCTGATGTTCAGGTGTATATCAGTATGTCGTGTCTCTACTTTAAAGAGTCCTCTCCTGCTGATGTTCAGGTGTATATCAGTATGTAGTGTCTCTACTTTAAAGAGTCCTCTCATGCTGATGTTCAGGTGTATATCAGTATGTAGTGTCTCTACTTTAAAGAGTCCTCTCCTGCTGATGTTCAGGTGTATATCAGTATGTAGTGTCTCTACTTTAAAGAGTCCTCTCCTGCTGATGTTCAGGTGTATGTCAGTATGTAGTGTCTCTACTTTAAAGAGTTCTCTCCTGCTGATGTTCAGGTGTATATCAGTATGTAGTGTCTCTACTTTAAAGAGTCCTCTCCTGCTGATGTTCAGGTGTATATCAGTATGTAGTGTCTCTACTTTAAAGAGTCCTCTCCTGCTGATGTTCAGGTGTATATCAGTATGTAGTGTCTCTACTTTAAAGAGTTCTCTCCTGCTGATGTTCAGGTGTATATCAGTATGTAGTGTCTCTACTTTAAAGAGTCCTCTCCTGCTGATGTTCAGGTGTATATCAGTATGTAGTGTCTCTACTTTAAAGAGTCCTCTCCTGCTGATGTTCAGGTGTATATCAGTATGTAGTGTCTCTACTTTAAAGAGTCCCTCTCCTGCTGATGTTCAGGTGTATATCAGTATGTAGTGTCTCTACTTTAAAGAGTCCTCTCCTGCTGATGTTCAGGTGTATATCAGTATGTAGTGTCTCTACTTTAAAGAGTCCTCTCCTGCTGATGTTCAGGTGTATATCAGTATGTAGTGTCTCTACTTTAAAGAGTCATCTCCTGCTGATGTTCAGGTGTATATCAGTATGTAGTGTCTCTACTTTAAAGAGTCCTCTCCTGCTGATGTTCAGGTGTATATCAGTATGTAGTGTCTCTACTTTAAAGAGTCCTCTCCTGCTGATGTTCAGGTGTATATCAGTATGTAGTGTCTCTACTTTAAAGAGTCCTCTCCTGCTGATGTTCAGGTGTATATCAGTATGTAGTGTCTCTACTTTAAAGAGTCCTCTCCTGCTGATGTTCAGGTGTATATCAGTATGTAGTGTCTCTACTTTAAAGAGTCCTCTCCTGCTGATGTTCAGGTGTATATCAGTATGTAGTGTCTCTACTTTAAAGAGTCCCTCTCCTGTTGATGTTCAGGTGTATATCAGTATGTAGTGTCTCTACTTTAAAGAGTCCTCTCCTGCTGATGTTCAGGTGTATATCAGTATGTAGTGTCTCTACTTTAAAGAGTCCTCTCCTGCTGATGTTCAGGTGTATATCAGTACGTAGTGTCTCTACTTTAAAGAGTCCTCTCCTGCTGATGTTCAGGTGTATATCAGTATGTAGTGTCTCTACTTTAAAGAGTTTACCTCACAGCCTTTAGCCATAGCGAAGCCTCCTCCCAGCAGCAGGATGATGTTCCAGGGAACCGAGTCCTGAGCCTTCTTCCAGGAGAGCAGAGGCACGTAGGGGGTGTTGGAAGCTGAGGAGAAATTAATAATAATAATAATAATATAATCTTTAAAGCGCTTCAATAAATACCCAAAGTACGGAAATTTCCACTAAATTCAATTCAACTCGTATCCTAAAGACGTGACCTACATCGAGAAGGACAATGAGCCCCATGATCTGCTTTTATTTTATTTTATGCTGGCGTCCAGTGGTTTATTTGGCCAGCTGAATATCACACACACACACACACACACACACACACACACACACACACACACACACACACACACACACACACACACACACACACACACACACACACACACACACACACACACACACACACACACACACACACACACACACACACACACACACACACACACACACACACACACACACACACACACACACACACACACACACACACACACACACACACACACACACACACACACACACACACACACACACACACACACACACACACACACACACATTCTTTTATGTAACAGTAAGGGAGTACAGTTGACTTTTTCTGTATACTGATAATCCCGTTTCATGTAAGCCATTACTCCCTGAACCAGCACACACACAACACGTGTGTACAGTTTGTGTACACACACACAATAATACACACACACACACACACATTTGAGAGATTACAGTAATCACAGGAACAGAGGAACTACAGTCTCACATCCAGACTGGAAGTTTACTCAGACTGTAATCTGCAATATTAACATTCCTCTGTTTATCTGCAGCGTTTGCAAAGTCTTCTGAGTTCTGAGTCCTTAAATGTTTTACAAATACTTAGTAAAGTACACTTTACACGGCTTAGTTGAATACGCGATTCTGATTGGTTAATTGCTAGCAGACTGTTGCTAAGCAGAACAGTCCGTTTCTGAGGAGGATCATGGGACTATGTTCAGTATTTATGATATGACAACAAATATTTTGACTCTTTGAATCTTTGAGTCATTCTGCCGAAATCCGGTCAATTAGACGTCAGCTGTGGTTTCCAGATTTGTGAGAAGCAACTCCAGAGTTCACATCCTCGTAAATAAATGAAATGCAAATATAAATACTTTGACTTGTGTGTAAAGCCCTACCAATAAATATCAGAGAGGAAAACTCAGCTAAAGACACATCTTTTTAGATTAGCTTTTTATTAGCAACCCCCCACTTTAAACGTTATATTAGTCTTTATTATTGACCTACTTTTATTTATTTTATAGGTCTTAAAGGGTTTTATCTTATATTATGTATATAACAGTTTCAATAGCAACATTTATTTTTACGTTGTTTTTTAAATATTTTAATCGTTTAACCTTTATTAGAATTATGACATTTTTATTACTATTATCTTTTTATTTTTTATTTCAGTTGTACCTATATGTTCACTTAGTCTTGTGTCTTATCTGTCGGAGATAAATCATTATTTATTTTATTTATATAATCATACCTTTTACCTCTTTGTGTCTCTTAAACCGTTAAAATGTTATATTGCAATGACTCTAAATAATAATGATCACGCCACCAAACACACATTCAAACTAAAGGAACCAGCCTGTTTGGAAAATGTGAGAAGTAGAAAGTACAGGTATTTGTGTTCAACATGTAAGAAGTAGAAAGTACAGGTATTTGTGTTCAACATGTGAGAAGTAGAAAGTACAGGTATTTGTGTTCAACATGTAAGAAGTAGAAAGTACAGGTATTTGTGTTCAACATGTAAGAAGTAGAAAGTACAGGTATTTGTGTTCAACATGTAAGAAGTAGAAAGTACAGGTATTTGTGTTCAACATGTAAGAAGTAGAAAGTACAGGTATTTGTGTTCAACATGTAAGAAGTAGAAAGTACAGGTATTTGGGTTCAACATGTAAGAAGTAGAAAGTACAGGTGTTTGTGTTCAACATGTAAGAAGTAGAAAGTACAGGTATCTGTGTTCAACATGTAAGAAGTAGAAAGTTCAGGTATTTGTGTTCAACATGTAAGAAGTAGAAAGTACAGGTATTTGTGTTCAACATGTAAGAAGTAGAAAGTACAGGTATTTGTGTTCAACATGTAAGAAGTAGAAAGTACAGGTATTTGTGTTCAACATGTAAGAAGTAGAAAGTACAGGTATTTGTGTTCAACATGTAAGAAGTAGAAAGTACAGGTATTTGTGTTCAACATGTAAGAAGTAGAAAGTACAGGTATTTGTGTTCAACATGTAAGAAGTAGAAAGTACAGGTATTAGTGTTCAACATGTAAGAAGTAGAAAGTACAGGTATTTGGGTTCAACATGTAAGAAGTAGAAAGTACAGGTATTTGGGTTCACATGTAAGAAGTAGAAAGTACAGGTATTTGTGTTCAACATGTAAGAAGTAGAAAGTACAGGTATTTGTGTTCAACATGTAAGAAGTAGAAAGTACAGGTATTAGTGTTCAACATGTAAGAAGTAGAAAGTACAGGTATTTGTGTTCAACATGTAAGAAGTAGAAAGTACAGGTATCTGTGTTCAAAATGTAAGAAGTAGAAAGTACAGGTATTTGTGTTCAACATGTAAGAAGTAGAAAGTACAGGTATTTGTGTTCAACATGTAAGAAGTAGAAAGTACAGGTATTAGTGTTCAACATGTAAGAAGTAGAAAGTACAGGTATTTGGGTTCAACATGTAAGAAGTAGAAAGTACAGGTATTTGTGTTCAACATGTGAGAAGTAGAAAGTACAGGTATTTGGGTTCAACATGTAAGAAGTAGAAAGTACAGGTATTTGTGTTCAACATGTAAGAAGTAGAAAGTACAGGTATTTGGGTTCAACATGTAAGAAGTAGAAAGTACAGGTATTTGGGTTCAACATGTGAGAAGTAGAAAGTACAGGTATTTGGGTTCAACATGTAAGAAGTAGAAAGTACAGGTATTTGTGTTCAAAATGTAAGAAGTAGAAAGTACAGGTATTTGGGTTCAACATGTAAGAAGTAGAAAGTACAGGTATTTGTGTTCAACATGTGAGAAGTAGAAAGTACAGGTATTTGGGTTCAACATGTAAGAAGTAGAAAGTACAGGTATTTGTGTTCAACATGTAAGAAGTAGAAAGTACAGGTATTTGGGTTCAACATGTAAGAAGTAGAAAGTACAGGTATTTGGGTTCAACATGTGAGAAGTAGAAAGTACAGGTATTTGGGTTCAACATGTAAGAAGTAGAAAGTACAGGTATTTGTGTTCAAAATGTAAGAAGTAGAAAGTACAGGTATTTGGGTTCAACATGTAAGAAGTAGAAAGTACAGGTATTTGTGTTCAAAATGTGAGAAGTAGAAAGTACAGGTATTTGGGTTCAACATGTAAGAAGTAGAAAGTACAGGTATTTGTGTTCAAAATGTAAGAAGTAGAAAGTACAGGTATTTGTGTTCAACATGTAAGAAGTAGAAAGTACAGGTATTTGTGTTCAACATGTAAGAAGTAGAAAGTACAGGTATTTGTGTTCAACATGTATGAAGTCAAAGTAAAAAGTGGTCAGAAAAATAAGTAGTTGAGTAAAGTACTGATACCAGAAACATGTACTTAAGTACAGTAACACAGTATTTGTACTCCACTACTTCCCACCTCTGGATATAAATAAAGTGTTATTATTTGAGATGTGACTGACCTTGAGGGTCGAGCCACCAGCTCAGAGACGGTTTCTGTGAAGGGAAGAAGAACAAGATGGAGACGATGATGACTCCGGTGACGGCGTCTGAGACGTACCTGCAGGACAACCAGGACACGGGCAGTTTCAAGATTCAAGGCTTTTATTGTCATTTGTACATAGCTACTGTACTGTGTGGTTATGACAGTGAACATCTGAGGTCACAGGCTCCTCCAACAGAGCAACACAATAACACAGATACAATAGTAGAGGTAAATAAAGTTAGCAGGCAAAACTAAGATATGGATTAGAATAGAAAGAATACTGCATCTTTCTTACCCTTTCTTAAAAAACACAGACCAGCCGGGGACAAATTTGGGATCTCTGGTGAAGAGCAGGACTGCAAACAGCACGAAGAAGAAAGAGATCGCTCCCTCTGCGAACCTGAGGAGAAGTTAAAAGACATCATTAAATAAAAATGTATTTAATATTCACGCTGCTTTGCAGAGACGCTCAACCTGCTTTACCGGGGCCCAGTTAGTCACATGCAATCAAATTAATTATATAAAATTAACAAACCGTAAGACTTTTATCTCATCTTTCTCATAAAGTCTTAAAGGAAAGACGAGGTAAGGCAGTAACTAACTGGAATCTGAATGAGCGTTGACTTTATAAGACGGATACATCGGATATTTAGTTTACTGCTCTGGTCAAATTAATAATACACATAATTTGACGCTTTATGAAATCCCTGAAATGTCCCACGAAGCATTAAACTGATCGTGCAACAAGAGAATGAATAATATACAACAGCTCTGTGGGTGTGACATGTATGGGATCAGGATTATCCTAATTCCTGCTGACCTCTTCTCTCCTTTTCAGGAATCTACCATTTCTAGAACATTAGGGTCTTTCTCTGGAGCTTTAACCTTATATCTTTATTAATAAACACTCTCTATACTTCTACTTGTATGCTTTGTATGCTCTCTGGTGCGGTGGCGACCGGTGCAAACGCATCACAACGGCCCAAAATATTTCCTTTGGGAGAAACAGGCTCAGTTTCAACGTGCCAGAACACATGCAGACGAAGAAACATTTAAAGGTCCCCTATTATGCAAAATCCACTTGTTCATGTGTCCCCTCTGTGTAAAGAGACTCTCTCTCTACACAGAGGGGACACATGTCTCTTCTACATCAACATGTGTCCCCTCTTCTTCATGTCTCTTCTACATCAACATGTGTCACCTCTTCTTCATGTCTCTTCTACATCAACATGTGTCCCCTCTTCTTCATGTCTCTTCTACATCAACATGTGTCCCCTCTTCTTCATGTCTCTTCTACATCAACATGTGTCCCCTCTTCTTCATGTCTCTTCTACATCAACATGTGTCCCCTCTTCTTCATGTCTCTTCTACATCAACATGTGTCCCCTCTTCTTCATGTCTCTTCTACATCAACATGTGTCCCCTCTTCTTCATGTCTCTTCTACATCAACATGTGTCCCCTCTTCTCCATGTCTCTTCTACATCAACATGTGTCCCCTCTTCTTCATGTCTCTTCTACATCAACATGTGTCCCCTCTTCTTCATGTCTCTTCTACATCAACACGTGTCCCCTCTTCTTCATGTCTCTTCTACATCAACACGTGTCCCCTCTTCTTCATGTCTCTTCTACATCAACATGTGTCCCCTCTTCTTCATGTCTCTTCTACATCAACACGTGTCCCCTCTTCTTCATGTCTCTTCTACATCAACATGTGTCCCCTCTTCTTCATGTCTCTTCTACATCAACATGTGTCCCCTCTTCTTCATGTCTCTTCGCCATCAACATGTGTCCCCTCTTCTTCATGTCTCTTCTACATCAACATGTGTCCCCTCTTCTTCATGTCTCTTCTTCATCAACATGTGTCCCCTCTTCTTCATGTCTCTTCTTCATCAACATGTGTCCCCTCTTCTTCATGTCTCTTCTCAACATGTGTCCCCTCTTCTTCATGTCTCTTCTACATCAACATGTGTCCCCTCTTCTTCATGTCTCTTCTACATCAACATGTGTCCCCTCTTCTTCACGTCTCTTCTACATCAACATGTGTACCCTCTTCGTCATGTCTCTTCTACATCAACATGTGTCCCCTCTTCTTCATGTCTCTTCTACATCAACATGTGTCCCCTCTTCTTCATGTCTCTTCTACATCAACATGTGTCCCCTCTTCTTCATGTCTCTTCTACATCAACATGTGTCCCCTCTTCTTCATGTCTCTTCTACATCAACATGTGTCCCCTCTTCTTCACGTCTCTTCTACATCAACATGTGTACCCTCTTCGTCATGTCTCTTCTACATCAACATGTGTCCCCTCTTCTTCATGTCTCTTCTACATCAACATGTGTCCCCTCTTCTTCATGTCTCTTCTACATCAACATGTGTCCCCTCTTCTTCATGTCTCTTCTACATCAACATGTGTCCCCTCTTCTTCATGTCTCTTCTACATCAACATGTGTCCCCTCTTCTTCATGTCTCTTCTACATCAACATGTGTCCCCTCTTCTTCATGTCTCTTCTACATCAACATGTGTCACCTCTTCTTCATGTCTCTTCTACATCAACATGTGTCCCCTCTTCTTCATGTCTCTTCTACATCAACATGTGTCCCCTCTTCTTCATGTCTCTTCTACATCAACATGTGTCCCCTCTTCTTCATGTCTCTTCTACATCACCATGTGTCCCCTCTTCTTCATGTCTCTTCTACATCAACATGTGTCCCCTCTTCTTCATGTCTCTTCTACATCACCATGTGTCCCCTCTTCTTCATGTCTCTTCTACATCAACATGTGTCCCCTCTTTTTCTACATCAACATGTGTCCCCTCTTCTTCTACATCAACATGTGTCCCCTCTTCTTCATGTCTCTTCTACATCAACATGTGTCCCCTCTTCTTCATGTCTCTTCTACATCAACATGTGTCCCCTCTTCTTCATGTCTCTTCTACATCAACATGTGTCCCCTCTTCTTCATGTCTCTTCTACATCAACATGTGTCCCCTCTTTCTTCATGTCTCTTCTATATCAACATGTGTCCCCTCTTCTTCATGTCTCTTCTACATCAACATGTGTCCCCTCTTCTTCATGTCTCTTCTTCATCAACATGTGTCCCCTCTTCTTCATGTCTCTTCTACATCAACATGTGTCCCCTCTTCTTCATGTCTCTTCTACATCAACATGTGTCCCCTCTGTGGAAAGAGACTCTGAAAGTTTCAGGAACAAAGATTCTCTCTCTTTTTGTCCTGATCCATTTCTGAAAATGAGCCGATCAGATTTTGGCCACTTTATGATGTCATAACGATGTTTTGTCTTGTGTAACCATTAGCCAATCAGCAACCAAGGTAACCCCCCCCCCCCCCCCCCCTTATCACCTGAATCTCCTCCTAGAGCACCATTGAGTTCTTTGTAACCAAATGTCTCTCAGAGGGGCGTGGGGAGGGGCTCCTTATTCTCATCTGAAGTAACAGACAGAGAATCAGCACTTTTGAAACAGGGCTGAAACAGAGGGGATTATGGGTAATGCTGCAATGATCTGTTTGGTGTTTCAGCCAATCAGAGACAGGCTCTGTATATATCTGAGACCAGTGATATATTGATGAGAAACAGTATAATAGGGGACCTTTAAAGTCCCGCGGACCGTAGGTTGAGCATTGCTGCAGTTTTGCCTCACTTTATGGGCCCCAGCTTCTTGTAGTCGTCCTCGATCATCGCCCTCGCCCTCGCCTCCGCCTCCGCTCGGTGGTCGGTCCTCGTGAAGCACAATCTGCAGAAAAAAACCCAAAAACATTCATTTCATTTGTTTTGTTTTCTACGCAAAAACTTAAATTGTCAAAAGACGAAAGCGGTCAGTCCTGTAGTGAGGTAGTGGAAGTTCAATGTTTCCTTTTATTTGAATTTTCATGAAAAGAAAGGACTCAAGTAAAGTACCTCAAATATGTACTTGAATACTTAAGTACATGTATTTATTTAGGTCTACACTCCACCATAAGAAAATAAACTATATATTCTTTACTTTTTTTAATGCTATTCTATTTGGGTTGTGTTCATTTTGGATTGTTTATTTCTAGTCTTTTAATTTCTCTAACGTACAATGCCTTGTCTTTTTATGCTGCAACGCAAACATTTCCCAAATTGGGATGAATAAAGTACTTCTTATCTTATCTTATCTGGCTTCTGTTGTGATGACTAGAAATGGAAAGAATAACTCTACAAATACTATTTTGACGGGAACGTTTTTTGAATCTGAAATAGGTAAATAGGCGTCTCTTTGTTACCGTGTGTTCAACCCCCCGTGGAGCAACGCGATCCAAAGCCATCCCACAAACAGGAAGATCAGCATGAGCGGGAAAGCAAACGCAAACCAGGAGCCGAAGTTTATCACATCGCAGTCTGGGAAGTAGCTGTGAAAACAAACACAACACAACTATAAGACGTGTTTTAAAGGTCTCCTATCATACTATTGTTAGGCAATAGGTCTCAGATATATAAAAATGAAACAGTATGGAGCTCAAACTCTTTTTGTCTCTCAGGTTTACCACAAAGTGAGTTCCTTTTTATTGCGATAAAATACATGCTAATGTAAACACAGACCTATTACTTCCAGAACACGTCTCATTGTTTCTGACAGCAATGTTTCTGATTGGCCCGTGGGTGTAAATAGAGGCTGAATCATCATGTTAATCACATAGCTATCATATGCCTAAAACAGTCCTGATGCTCTTCTAGGTAATCATACATCCTGTCATGAACACAGCTACAGTTGGGATACCTTTGTTATCATGTTACTCTCATGTTGGAAGAGTACATTCAGGATTTTCCCAACAACAATAAAAGCCTTGAACCTTGAACCTTTAAATGTAATCACGTGAGAGTTACCTCTTCAGCTGTCCGATCAGGATGAGGTTTGGCGCCGTGCCGGTCAGCGTGGCGGTGCCTCCGATGCTCGCAGCGTAAGGAATGCAGATCAGGAAACCTTTCCACACTTTCATTTGATACGCAGACTCCGAGCGTATTTCCTCCGCCGAGCGCTGGTCGCTCTGCTCCGCAACATCCGGACTTTAGGAGACAAAAACTTTGAATAAGCCCCACCAAGGTTCAGCGAAAAATAAATGTGCTTTCCTGCAGAGTTAGATTAAAAGATTGGTAGCACTGTTGCACTAGATAGATATTCTGCAGCCTGTTAGCTTAGCACAAGACTGAATGTAGCCTGTCTAAAGCTAACAAACTCCACCTACAATCACCTGTTAGCTTAGCTTAGCACAACACAACACTGAAACAACAGCTAGCCTATCTAAAGCTAACAAACTTCACCTACAAGCACCTGTTAGCTTAGCACAACACTGAAACAACTGCTAGCCTGTCTAAAGCTAACAAACTCCACCTATAAGCACCTGTTAGCTCAGCTTAGCACAACACTGAAAGCAACAGCTAGTCTGTCTAAAGCTAACTAACTCCACCTATAAGCACCTGTTAGCTTAGCTTAGCACAACACTGAAAGCAACAGCTAGCCTGTCTAAAGCTAACTAACTCCACCTATAAGCACCTCTAAAGATCACATATTAACACGTTTTATATAGTTGTAGTTGTTTTTCAAATCTGTATAAAGAACAAAGTTGGCTTAGTTTAGCAAAAATACGAGGCAGAGGGAAATATCTAAAGCCAACAAACTCCACCAAAAGTCAAGAATGTTTTTAAGGGCCGGAAAACTCATGCTATAGCTTGTTTTAAAAAAATCTTTATAAAGGACAAAGTTAGCTTAGCACAAAACTAAAAGCAGAGGGAAAGAGCTAGCCTATCTAAAGCTAACACACACCGAATAGTTAGCAGAAATTACAGGAAGAGGCTAATTCCTCTGTAGCTGTGTGTGTCTTTTAGCCCTGATCTTTGACTGTTTTTGCCATGAGGCTTATTTGAAAAGTAAGGAGAGAATTTTGCTCCAAATGTCTGCATATAACCTCATTCAAAAACCAGGACGCTAATTGTTTGGTAGTGCAGTGAGGGGCTACATTTCACCCTTTAAGGTGCTTTTTGAAACACACAGGTGTCATTTGCGAAGGGTTAAAGGTAGGGTAGGTAAGTTTGAGAAACCGGCTCGAGATCGCTAGAATTTGAAAATACACAACCGGAGAAAATCTGCCACTTCCTTATAGAGCCCCTCCTCCAACACACACGAACGCGCACATGACCAATGAGGGCACGAGATAAGTTTGTGCACAGATGGAAGGCTGACAGGCAGGTAGGCCATCCAGTTATTTTAGCCGGGCCGGCTGAGATGATTGGTCGTGCTTGTTACAGTACCACGGCTTCCACAGATGATATTTTTTTATGGATTTTTTGTCAAAGCACTTCAGATATTCATTGCTATCGGGATGTTAAGAGCATTGCATGGAATATAACAAAAAGTGTATCTCGAGCCGGTTCCTCAAACTTACCTACCCCACCTTTAAAGGTAGGGTAGGTAAGTTTGAGAAACCGGCTCGAGACCCCACCTTTAAAGGTAGGGTAGGTAAGTTTGAGAAACCGGCTCGAGACCCCACCTTTAAAGGTAGGGTAGGTAAGTTTGAGAAACCAGCTCGAGATACACTTTTTGTTATATTCCATGGAATGCTCTTAACATCCCGATAGCAATGAATATCTGAAGTGCTTTGACAAAAAATCCATAAAAAAATGTCATCTGTGGAAGCCGTAATACTGTAAAAAGCACGACCAATCATGGCCTACCTGCCTGTCAGCCTTCCATCTGTGCACAAACTTATCTCGTGCCCTCATTGGTCATGTGCGCGTTCGTGTGTGTTGGAGGAGGGGCTCTGTAAGGAAGTGGCAGATTTTCTCCGGTTGTGTATTTTCAAATTCTAGCGATCTCGAGCCGGTTTCTCAAATGTACCTACCCCACCTTTAAGCATTGCATTTTTTATGGGAGGTTATGTGCGAGACTATTTCTTTGATTTTCTTACATTCAGCCACTTGTTTCCAGCTTTTATGCTAAGCTAACGGCCTCCTCTCAGCTCTTGTAGCATATTTCCTAAAATGGATATCTTTTTTAGTCAGATGTTGGAAGACGTTGTGATTCTTCTTACCCCTCTATGGACAGTATTTGTTTCTCCGTGTGTACTGAGGGCAGTGAATGCAGCTTTACAGAAGACGGACCTGGGAGATAATAACAAACATCAGGGGAGTAAAATCATGTAATATGTGACAGCATTATAAATCATAAACTCTCTCAGGACACAGTGTGTTGGAAAAACCGCACAAAGTTCACTTCCTAGATTACATATTAAAAACAATACAGACGTTTTCACTTTGTCTGCACATGTTCTTTCAAACGGTTGCTTGGGCACATATTGAGCAGCTTTGCAGCAACACTATCTTTATTTAATCTAAATTAACAAGAGAGACAACATTTCACCTGCAGGCAGTGGCTGTTCTAGAGTCTGTGGGGGCCCTAGGCAAAAATTCACTGGGGGCCCCTCGAAGATTTTCAACGACATAATCACTCTGTAGCTATGTTAGTTTGACAATAAAGAACCTTCAACCTTCAACCTTGAACCAGCTTTCATCAACATCAGTGGCGCCCCCCCCCCCCCCCCCGGGGGTTAAATAAAATACTTCTCTGTGGGATCATCACTACAGCTCATAAGAGGTGGGAAGTATTGGAGTACAAATACTTTGTTACTGTACTTAAGTACATTTTTCTGGTATCAGTACTTTACTCCACTACTTATTTTTCTGACCACTTTTTACTTTGACTTCTTACATTTTGAACTCAAATACCTGTACTTTCTACTTCTTACATGTTGAACACAAATACCTGTACTTTCTACTTCTTACATTTTGAACACAAATACCTGTACTTTCTACTTCTCACATGTTGAACACAAATACCTGTACTTTCTACTTCTTACATTTTGAACACAAATACCTGTACTTTCTACTTCTTACATGTTGAACACAAATACCTGTACTTTCTACTTCTTACATTTTTAACACTAATACCTGTACTTTCTACTTCTTACATTTTGAACACAAATACCTGTACTTTCTACTTCTTACATTTTGAACACAAATACCTGTACTTTCTACTTCTTACATTTTGAACACAAATACCTGTACTTTCTACTTCTTACATGTTGAACACAAATACCTGTACTTTCTACTTCTCACATTTCCCAAACAGGCTGGTTCCTTTAGTTTGAATGTGTGTTTGGTGGCGTGATCATTATTATTTAGAGTCATTGCGTGCCTATTGATTTGAACACGATCCGTGTATCCATCATTTCCTGGTCTTCTCTAAAGAAGAGGGACCAATGAAAACGTTGTCATGTTGCCGTTGTTCAGCATGGAAACATTCATTAGCTAACAATGACATTATTGTTCTATTAATATAAAGGGAGGTCAGGTACTCTTTAAAACAGCTGCTAGTTATGGGTACTTTTTACTGAAGTACATTTCAAAGCCTCTTTACTTTTACTTGAGTAAAGAAGTTTAGTCAGTACTTCTACTTTCACCAGAGTATTTTTAAACACGAGTATCTGTACTTCTACTTGAGTACAGGATGTGTGTACTCTTTCCCTCTCGTACCGTTAAGGACCTCGTTGTCGGGCTCCTGGCGCTCCTTGCACTTCTCCTTGAGGGTCTCCAGGTCTCCGAACAGACTCTCCAGGATGGCGGTGGCGATGGGAAGCATCATGGCGGTGGTGGCCGTGTTGCTGAGCCACATGGAGAGGAAGGAGGAGGTCAGCATCATGCCCAGGATCAGCCTGCAGGCGGGAAATATCATTATTATTATATTATTATTATTTCAATCAGCAACTTCCCATGAGTTACCATTAAGAAGAAACTGAAGAGATACTGTAATGTAATATACTAATATACAATTGAAAGGCGCTATACAAATATAATCTATTATTATTATTATTATGTATTATTATTAAGAATTATTTTCTGTTTCCCCTCACCAGGCGGGCTTCACCCCCACGATGGTGAGCACCTTCAGGGCGATGCGGCGGTGGAGCCCCCACTCCTCGATGGACGACGCCATCACCAGGCCGCTCAGGAACAGGAAGTTGGTTTCCAGGAAGTACTGAGGGCACACCTTTTTGGAGGGAAGGATTCCCAGCGTCGGGAAGAGGCAGACGGGAAGCATGGCGGTGACGGCGAGAGGGAGCGCCTCGGTGCACCAGTACACCGCCATCAGAATCACCACGTACAGACATCTACCCTCCTGGAGAGAAACAGCCTTTACTCGAGTACAAGTACACATCCTTTACTCAAGTAGAAGTACACATCCTTTACTCAAGTAGAAGTACACACCCTTTACTCAAGTAGAAGTACACACCCTTTACTCAAGCAGAAGTACACACCCTTTACTCAAGTAGAAGTACACACCCTTTACTTAAGTAGAAGTACACATCCTTTACTTAAGTAGAAGTACACATCCTTTACTCGAGTAGAAGTACACATCCTTTACTTAAGTAGAAGTACACATCCTTTACTTAAGTAGAAGTACACATCCTTTACTTAAGTAGAAGTACACATCCTTTACTCAAGTAGAAGTACACATCCTTTACTCGAGTAGAAGTACACATCCTTTACTCAAGTAGAAGTACACACATCCTTTACTCCAGTAGAAGTACACATCCTTTACTCAAGTAGAAGTACAAATACTCATGTTTAAAAATACTCTGGTAAAAGTAGAAGTACTGACTAAACTTCTTAACTCAAGTAAAAGTAAAGAGGGCTTTGAAATGTACTTCAGTAAAAAGTACCCATAACTAGCAGCTGTTTTAAAGAGTACCTGACCTCCCTTTATATGAATAGAACAATAATGTCATTGTTAGCTAATGAATGTTTCCATGCTGAACAACGGCAACATGACAACGTTTTCATTGGTCCCTCTTCTTTAGAGAAGACCAGGAAATGATGGATACACGGATCGTGTTCAAATCAATAGGCACGCAATGACTCTAAATAATAATGATCACGCCACCAAACACACATTCAAACTAAAGGAACCAGCCTGTTTGGGAAATGTAAGAAGTAGAAAGTACAGGTATTTGTGTTCAACATGTAAGAAGTAGAAAGTACAGGTATTTGGGTTCAACATGTAAGAAGTAGAAAGTACAGGTATTTGGGTTCAACATGTAAGAAGTAGAAAGTACAGGTATTTGTGTTCAACATGTAAGAAGTAGAAAGTACAGGTATTTGTGTTCAACATGTGAGAAGTAGAAAGTACAGGTATTTGGGTTCAACATGTAAGAAGTAGAAAGTACAGGTATTTGGGTTCAACATGTAAGAAGTAGAAAGTACAGGTATTTGTGTTCAACATGTAAGAAGTAGAAAGTACAGGTATTTGTGTTCAACATGTAAGAAGTAGAAAGTACAGGTATTTATGTTCAAAATGTAAGAAGTAGAAAGTACAGGTATTTGTGTTCAACATGTAAGAAGTAGAAAGTACAGGTATTTGTGTTCAAAATGTAAGAAGTAGAAAGTACAGGTATTTGAGTTCAACATGTAAGAAGTAGAAAGTACAGGTATTTGTGTTCAACATGTAAGAAGTAGAAAGTACAGGTATTTGAGTTCAAAATGTAAGAAGTAGAAAGTACAGGTATTTGTGTTCAAAATGTAAGAAGTAGAAAGTACAGGTATTAGTGTTCAACATGTAAGAAGTAGAAAGTTCAGGTATTTGTGTTCAAAATGTAAGAAGTAGAAAGTACAGGTATTTGAGTTCAACATGTAAGAAGTAGAAAGTACAGGTATTTGGGTTCAAAATGTAAGAAGTAGAAAGTACAGGTATTTGTGTTCAAAATGTAAGAAGTAGAAAGTACAGGTATTTGTGTTCAACATGTAAGAAGTAGAAAGTACAGGTATTTGTGTTCAAAATGTAAGAAGTAGAAAGTACAGGTATTTGTGTTCAAAATGTGAGAAGTAGAAAGTACAGGTATTTGTGTTCAACATGTAAGAAGTAGAAAGTACAGGTATTTGAGTTCAAAATGTAAGAAGTAGAAAGTACAGGTATTTGTGTTCAAAATGTAAGAAGTAGAAAGTACAGGTATTAGTGTTCAACATGTAAGAAGTAGAAAGTTCAGGTATTTGTGTTCAAAATGTAAGAAGTAGAAAGTACAGGTATTTGAGTTCAACATGTAAGAAGTAGAAAGTACAGGTATTTGTGTTCAAAATGTAAGAAGTAGAAAGTACAGGTATTTGTGTTCAAAATGTGAGAAGTAGAAAGTACAGGTATTTGTGTTCAACATGTAAGAAGTAGAAAGTACAGGTATTTGAGTTCAAAATGTAAGAAGTAGAAAGTACAGGTATTTGTGTTCAACATGTAAGAAGTAGAAAGTACAGGTATTTGTGTTCAAAATGTAAGAAGTAGAAAGTACAGGTATTTGTGTTCAAAATGTAAGAAGTAGAAAGTACAGGTATTTGTGTTCAAAATGTAAGAAGTAGAAAGTACAGGTATTTGTGTTCAAAATGTAAGAAGTAGAAAGTACAGGTATTTGTGTTCAACATGTAAGAAGTAGAAAGTACAGGTATTTGAGTTCAAAATGTAAGAAGTAGAAAGTACAGGTATTTGTGTTCAAAATGTAAGAAGTAGAAAGTACAGGTATTTGAGTTCAAAATGTAAGAAGTAGAAAGTACAGGTATTTGTGTTCAAAATGTGAGAAGTAGAAAGTACAGGTATTTGTGTTCAAAATGTAAGAAGTAGAAAGTACAGGTATTTGGGTTCAACATGTAAGAAGTAGAAAGTACAGGTATTTGGGTTCAACATGTAAGAAGTAGAAAGTACAGGTATTTGGGTTCAACATGTAAGAAGTAGAAAGTACAGGTATTTGTGTTCAACATGTAAGAAGTAGAAAGTACAGGTATTTGTGTTCAAAATGTAAGAAGTAGAAAGTACAGGTATTTGTGTTCAAAATGTGAGAAGTAGAAAGTACAGGTATTTGTGTTCAACATGTAAGAAGTAGAAAGTACAGGTATTTGAGTTCAACATGTAAGAAGTAGAAAGTACAGGTATTTGAGTTCAAAATGTAAGAAGTAGAAAGTACAGGTATTTGTGTTCAACATGTAAGAAGTAGAAAGTACAGGTATTTGTGTTCAAAATGTAAGAAGTAGAAAGTACAGGTATTTGAGTTCAACATGTAAGAAGTAGAAAGTACAGGTATTTGTGTTCAAAATGTAAGAAGTAGAAAGTACAGGTATTTGTGTTCAAAATGTGAGAAGTAGAAAGTACAGGTATTTGTGTTCAACATGTAAGAAGTAGAAAGTACAGGTATTTGAGTTCAAAATGTAAGAAGTAGAAAGTACAGGTATTTGTGTTCAACATGTAAGAAGTAGAAAGTACAGGTATTTGTGTTCAAAATGTAAGAAGTAGAAAGTACAGGTATTTGTGTTCAAAATGTAAGAAGTAGAAAGTACAGGTATTTGTGTTCAAAATGTAAGAAGTAGAAAGTACAGGTATTTGAGTTCAAAATG